AGGCCCCACCTCTTAACAGCATCGCAGTGGCCCTTCAATTCCAGCATGTGTTTTGGAGGAGACACTCAGCCCAGCCGACTGTGTGTTGACGCACCTGCGGCCAGTCATTTCTGAGGACCCGGCTGGAGGGGGTCCCAGGGTTTTAGGGCAGAGAGGTTCAGCCTAGCATTAGGCATGTTAGTAAGAAAAAGGAATGGAAATGAAGTAAGCGTGTGTAGGAGACAGCACCACACAGCTACCAAAGTCACTCTTCCCGGGAAAGTAAATTTTTAAAAAGCTTCAATCAATCAACACAATCACAGCAATATAAAAAATGTATATAGAAGAACAGAAGGAAGGAACCACTGTCAATATTTGGATGTAGTCTAATAGCAGGTGTGTGGATGACTTGATTTATTTTATCCTCGACTGGCTACTTCCCACCCACCCAACAATACACACTTAGTTAAAACACACAACTCTTCTCTCCTCAGGGTGCCAGCGGCCCGGTCGGACCCAAGGGAGAGGTGAGTGCCCGGCCACTGTTCCGACGACACAATCCGTGGGTGCCTGCTGGCTTCCTGCCCACTGCTGGGCAACCAGGCGGCCCTGCAGGGCACTGCCCAGATCCGAGATTGTAAAAAAGCTTGCTCTGGTCAAGGCTGGGCAAGATGGCTCCGTGCCAGCCAGGAAAAGAGCATGTCAGGGTGGCTCTGGGCTCCTGGGCTCGCCCCTGACCCGCCTTCCTCTGTTTCTCTGCAGTCTGGCAGTCGAGGGGAGCTGGGCCCTAAAGGCATCCAGGGTCCTAACGGCACCAGCGGCGTTCAGGGTGTCCCCGGACCCCCCGGTCCTCTGGGCCTCCAGGGCGTCCAGGGTGTTCCTGGCATCACGGGGAAGCCGGGCGTTCCGGTACGTCGCTTTTCCAGCTTTCACAGGATTGAGATTGTGTTTTTTCCTGAAGGAAGTTTGTGGGGTGATGGTGGGAACGCCTTACAGAGGCTGCCGCCTCCGTGCTGACGAATGTGTGGGGTGAATTCCAGGGGAAGGAGGCCAGCGAGCAGCGCATCAGGGAGCTGTGTGGGGGGCTGATCAGCGGTAAGTCAGATACCCGCACGGCTGCAGCGGGCCCGTCCCCACCTGGGGTTCCCGTGCCTTCACGCCACCACTTTCCAGCCAGACTGAGCCGCTAGCACTCACCCTGCCTCTTAGCCCTTGGGGGTCCACATCCGCCTTGGCATCTGCCCGTCCTCTGCACCAGAGGATGGCCCACTCTCCGGCCCCGGATTCAACCAGATGCCCGGCACGCAGCAGACGCCCTAAAGTCTACTGAATGTGATGGGTACAAGAATAGTGGAGTGTGCCCCTGTGGCTGGCAGGGCAGGTCCCCAAACGCCCCCGAGGGCACTTCCTTCACCTTCCCATTCTCAGGCTCCAAGGGGTTGGGGGTCCTTTCTAGCTCCGGCCTTCATCACCCTGAAGCAGTGAAACCATTTTCCATCAATCGGAAGGAAAACGTCCTTCTGGAAGGCAGCTCTGTGCAGATATTTCATGCTTCACGTAACAATACTTTTGATGATCCTCTCTCAAGTAAACGCCTGCACCCTTGTTTTCCCAAAGAACAAATTGCACAGTTAGCCACGCACCTGAGGAAGCCTTTGGCACCGGGGTCCATTGGCCGGCCCGGTCCAGCTGGCCCCCCTGGACCCCCAGGACCCCCAGGCTCCATCGGTCACCCTGGCGCTCGAGGACCCCCCGGATACCGCGGTCCCACTGGGGAGCTGGGAGACCCCGGGCCCAGAGGTGAGTGGTCGACCCCACGACATGGTCACCCTGCTGTAAAAATCCCTGAGACTGACTTGTTAGTAGGCGCTGCTTCTGGTGCCTGCCAAGCGCCCTCAGTGGTAATGCCCGGAAGGAAGGGGCCCCTCATATTTTGGGGCCTAGCGCAGTTAACGCCTTAGTAATCCTGTGGGAACTGGAACATTTTAAAAATGTGATGTTTTTCTCAAATACCATTAGAACACTATTTGGCAGGGAGAGGTTGATTAAAACTGTGGCGAAGGCCGGGCAGTGGCTCCCGCCTGGAATCCCAGCACTTTCGGAGGCCAAGGTGGGCAGATCACAAGGTCAGGAGTTCCAGACCAGCCTGACCAACATGGTGAAACCCCATCTCTACTAAAAATACAAAAATTAGCCGGGCGTGGTGGCACACACCTGTAATCCCAGCTACTCAGGAGGCTGAGGTAGGAGAATCTCTTGAACCCTGGAGGCAGGGGTTGCAGTGAGCTGAGTTTGCACCATTGCACTCCAGCTTGGGCAGCAGAGCGAGACTCCATCTCCATAAAAGAAAAAAAAAAGTGAGGAATGACCGGGTGCGGTGGCTCACGCCTGTAATCCCAGCACTTTGGGAGGCCAAGGCAGGTGGATTACTGGAAGTCAGGAGTTCAAGACCAGCCTGGCCAACGTGGTAAAACCCCGTCTCTACTAAAAATACAAAATTAGCTGGATGTGGTGGCATGCACCTGTAATCCCAGCTACTCGGGAGACTGAGGCAGGAGAATCGCTTGAACCTGGAAGGCGGAGGTTGCAGTGAGCTTAGATCACGCCATTGCATTCTGGCATGGGCAAAAAGAGCGAAACTCTGTCTCAAAAAAATAAAATGTGAGGAATGAATAAATAAGAGTTGCATTTATATTGACAAGATGCACCTTCATGAAAACTGGCAGCATGTGAAAATTTCTGTTGCAAAAGGCAAACATACGAAATTCAAAGTTGTCTCCATATTAAGGGCTACCAAGAACACAGAAAGCTTTAATTTAGAAACAAGACGAAAATCACTGACATTCGCTGATCCTCCACGCGGCTGTGCAGTGTGCATGGCTGGCAGTATTGACTTTCCAGAAAGGCTTTGAGGTACCCAGGTGTAAACTGGGGAGGTCTGGAGGCATGGAAGACACAATTGTGTTAACTGTTGGACACGAACCCTTACCAGAATTTTAAAATGTCAAGACACCTTCCATCTGCAACATCCGGTCAGCTGCCCTTCAGCCCAAGTAAAGGATTTAAAGCTCACGATTCCAGTGGATCCCACCTTCTGGACCAGATAACATCCTGCTTCCCAAAAATAGCTTAAGAAAAACGTTTCTAAAGGAAACTTAACTCTGCGAGTTTGTCTTCATCTCTGAGACGAAATTGAACTATTTAGCAAGGTGGTCGTGTTCCATAGTTAGTGATATTATTTCACTTATTTTAAAGATACTGAGATTGAAGATTTTCAGCACTTGAGTGTCAAATTCGTTTTGTTGTCCATATGTCCAAATTATCAAATAGCTTCCTGTTTTCCTGGAAACTTCTTTAAGTTATGACTTTCTCAGGCCATCTAGGCTAGTCTTATGCCACATGAGGGACTGCAATCTTCAAAAAGAGACCACATAAGATTTTCTCCAGATAGGGACCTGAACTCCTTCAAGACTTTGAAAATAAAATTCAGGCCAGGCGCGGTGGCTCACGCCTGTAATCCCAGCACTTTGGGAGGCCGAGGTGGGTGGATCACCTGAGGCCAGGAGTTCGAGACCAGCCTGACCAACATGGTGAAACCCCATCTCTACTAAAAATACAAAAATTAGCTGGACGTGGTGGCGGGCGCCTGTAATCCCAGCTACTCAGGAGGCTGAGGCAGGAGAATCGCTTGAACCCAGGAGGTGGAGGGTGCAGTGAGCCGAGATCACACCACTGCACTCCAGCCTGGGCAACAGAGCAAGACTTCGTCTCAAAAGAAAAAAGAAAAGAAAATTCAAAAAGCACATTAATGACCATTACCTGTTCTCAGAGAGTGGTGTGGTGGAATTAGTGAGCAGAGACCACACTGACCCATGTGCCTGACCGTCCTGACCATCCTGGCCGTCCTGGCCGGCCTCTGGGACGGCTGCACTTTTGCACCCTGTGAAGATGGGCACGTCTGCGGCAGGAGCCGCTCCCTGGAGAGGTGCTTGGTGCCTCGGGCTGTGGTCAGTGAAGCTGGCACGATGCCCAGAGCTGACCATGGGAACTGAATGTGAACATAAATGCATGCTTGGACCCACTGCAGGTCCTCGCTCGGAAGCCTCTGTTACTGCTGTGCCTCGAGCCCCCTCCCTGGAAAAGGAGCACCAGCAGGACCGCCTTCTGCCCCAGGGCACAGTAGGTCAGCCCGCGGCATCCGGCCAGTCACGCCAGACACACTGGGCACCAGGGGCCACCGAAGCCCGCTGCCCTGCTGGGGAGGCCCACCCGAGTTCCCAGGCCATGGGCACCGCTCCTGCCCGTGGCCGTGCGTGATGTGCAGATGGGCAGTGACTGCCTCAACGTTGGCACCGCCAATCGCACCTGTGCTTATCAATTTCAGAAGGTAGCAGGATTGCAGGATTGAAACAGACACACAAACACCAAGCAAAACAAAGTTGGTGCCGCTGCAATGACCATCAGACAAAACAGACCGGCTCTGTGATGCTGCCTGCCTTACGGGATCCCTGCGCTGACAAAGGCTCACTCTACCGGGAGCAAATCCTAGAGCGACCTGTATGCATCCAGCCTTGTGGCTTCCGGGCGCACAAAGCCAGGGTTGACACGGCTGGGCGTGGTGGCTCGGCCTGGAATCCCAGCACTTTGGGAGGCCAAGGCGAGAGGATGTCTTGAGGCTGGAAGTTCAAGACCAGCTGAGGCAATACAGTGAAACCCAATCTCTATAAAATTAGCCGGGCATGGTGGCATGCCTGTAATCCCAGCTACTCAGGAGGCTGAGGTAGGAGGATCCCTTGAGTCCAGGAGGTTGAGGCTGCAGTGAGCTATGATCACAACACTGCACTCCAGCCTGGGCAACAGAGAGAGATCCTGTCTCAAAAAAAAAAAAAAAATAGATGGTAACACACCCCTCTCCTCACCCAGCAAAACACAGATGTAAGATTTGAATGACACAATTAGAGGGATGTGAAAATGCCCTTAGATGACCCATGGGTCGAAAATCATTTAAAATAGAATTATAAAATATTAATAAATAACTACTTAATAGGCATAAATATTTTGAACAAAACTAAAATCCCATTCAAATTGGCTGCCAGAGGTCTGGGAGGTCGTTCAGCCGTGCAGGGCTCAGCAGCAGGCATATGTTCTGACGGCTGTGCCACTGGGCGGGTTCGCTGTGGGAACATCCGAGTTCACTTGCGCAAACCCAGCCTCCCTCACCCCTGGGCCGTGTGCCAGAGCTGGGGCTTATGGCTGGAGACCTGCACAGCCTGTTACTGTGCTGGGTCCTGTGGGCGGTTCTAACACAGTGGTGGGTATCTGTGTTAAACACATCCAAACACGGGAGAGGTATGGTGAAAATTGGGTATGATAATCTTATGGGACCACCATCGCCTATACGGCGGGTCGTTGACCAGCTGTCCTGTGGCGCAAGACTGTGTACAAGTGGGTCCCTCTTGTCGGACCCCGTCAAGCCCTGTGTGTGTGACGTCTGTACTTCGGTAAAAAGCGGGAACCCTGTTTATTACAAAAGTCGATCAGACACCGCTGTGCTGTGGCTGCAACAGATACTCTAACCATGTGTCCGTGTCCACACCTCGTGACAGGAAGCCAGGGTGACAGAGGAGACAAAGGCGTGGCAGGAGCAGGGCTGGACGGGCCTGACGGAGACCAGGGTCCCCAAGGTACGAGTGCACGGCCAGCACGGCTTCACTGGGTGGCATCTCCTCCGCCATCTTGTGGCTTTATGTGGGGTGTGCTTGGATTACGAATGGGTCTCTTTTCCTCTTCTCTTGGCAAAGCAATCTCAGAGGCAAGATTAGGAATTGTCTCAGTAACCACTGTAATACATAAAAGTTTAATCGGGGCTGGCGCGGTGGCTCTCACCTGTAATCCCAGCACTTTCGGAGGCTGAGGCAGGCGGATAACCTGAGGTCAGAAGTTTGAGACCAGCCTGGCCAACATAGTGGAACCCCATCTCTATTAAAAATACAAAAATGAGCCGGGCATGGTGGCGGGCGCCTGTAATCCCAGATACTTGGAAGGCTGAGACAGGAGAATCGCTTGAACCCAGGAGGCGGAGGTTGCAGGTTGCAGTGAGCCGAGATTGCTCCACTGCCCTCCAGCCTGGCGACAGAGCGAGACTCTGTCTCAAAAAAAAAAAAAAAAAAAGTTTAATCAGTAAGCAGATCCTCCTGGATCTATTTTAGCTAAGTCGATTTGGTTAGATTCTGTTGAAGCTATTCAGTATCTATTTCAGTTAAATTCTGACAGAATTTTCTCTTAATTGACCTGTGCAGCCATTGAATGTTTCCATTTCTAATGTCAAAAATAAATGCTTTGTCACGGAGGGAGGCGCGCCAGGATCCCTGGCAAAGGCCATCCCCTTCCTGCCCCTGCCTTAGCCTGATGCCTTCTCAAAACCAGGAGGCCTTAGGCTCCAAGGATGTGTGTGCCCAGGTGAGAAGGCACCCGCTCCCACCTTTCCCTGGTTGCCCTGGAGCCCTGTCCTCCCCTCCATGCACTCACACTGCTCTCTGGGTGCCCCATGCTCCTGGGCTCTCTCCTTTGCTGACCTAGCTCTGCCTCTACCTGGTGTCCCAATGCGCAGGTGTCCCGGGCCCCCAGCCGCATCTCTCCACCTATGTGGCTTTGAACAGCATCTGTGTTGTGCTTGCTGGTGGACAGCAGCCTGCCAGCTGTGCCATGACCACACCATTCTGGACTTTGTCACCTCATCTCAGTGAATGGCTCTGACACCCCGACTTAGGCGGTTGACTCCCTCTTCCCTCACACCCAGGCCTTCCCCCATGGTTCCACTGTCATCACTCACCAAAGCCACCCCGGGCCCCCACCCCGGGCCCCCTGCCCACTACAAATCCACTCCTCACTCACACAGCCCCCACCAAACCCGAGTAAGTCAGAGTGCGGGTGTCCTCAGGACGGCTCTGCACCCTTGCCTGGGGCTAGCCACGCCTGGCCTTCTCGGGGCACTCCCAACAGCCAGCCCCCCGGAGAGCCTTTGTGTGCCCTGTTCCCTCGGCCTCCCCGACCCCCCACGGCTGATGGAAGAGCAGGGCTTGCTCGCAGCTGGACGTCAAGTACCCCTGCTTTCAGTCCCGGCTGCAGCTGAACTCACCCTTCTGCTCTGTCCCAAGGACCCCAAGGCGTGCCCGGCACCAGCAAGGATGGCCAGGACGGTGCTCCCGGCGAGCCTGGGCCTCCCGGAGATCCTGGACTTCCAGGTGCCATTGGCGCCCAGGGGACACCGGGGATCTGCGACACCTCAGCCTGCCAAGGAGCTGTGTTAGGAGGGGTCGGGGAAAAATCAGGCTCTAGAAGCTCATAAAATTCAACATAAGGAAATGAGCAAGTGACAAGAACGCCTGAAGCACAGTGGGGCGGTCATGAAGGAGCAGGGGTGTGGCAGGCTGGCGACGTCCAGGAGAGTGAGCGCCCCAGCTGCCCCTCGGCCGCCGACTGGACGCGCGGGCCCTGCCAGCGAGCACCCTCATCGGGCTGTCGCCTGACCGCATACCTCAAAAGGCCCTAGCTGATAAACGTGTAAGCCCAGCATTTGAGAGAAGGTAGGGTGTTTGTATAAAACGTTGTGTACAATTCCATGAGATGCAAAATATTCAGTAACTTGTTCACATAGCATTTCTGTAGAGGCTGTGATCGCATCCCAATAAAATGATGTATTAAATCTTCAGATTAATGACTGGCTACAGAGTAACAAAAAATAAAGCATTTAATGTACAGTAAATTCTCTCCCATACAAAGGTGTAGTCTGATGCTTTGTGTACAAACTTGCATCTCCAATTCACAGTATTTATTGAGGGTGACTTTGTACTGCACTAACGTCTATTGCTATTACCTGTTGTGATAAATAAAGCCACTCATTTAAAAACTCAATTCCAAACACCACAGTTTATTACACATAAAGTAATGACTCTCGATATGAAAATGTGGGCATTTAAGCATCTACTGTGACAGTATTTCATTTTGGACAAAAGTAGCTTTAAAGCAAGTATCTGGAAAATGTTTAGCACAAAGGTTTAAAATGGTCCTGCACGTTGCAGTACACCACCACGTGACTCGGAATCATTACAAGGGGGTGTGACATAACAAATGAAATAAAATTTCCAAACTGTTTTGAGTTAACAATTTAACTTGTTCCAATTGCTAAAGGGGCGTATTTAAAATGTAAATACAGTAAGTAAAAAGCAGTGTACTTTTTAAGATTAAAGAAAGTACAAAGGATGTTAATTTTTTATCATGTTAAGAAAACATGATGGAATCAGGGCATTGAAAAAATGCTTACTAATTATTCAGATGGCTTCATCCCCAAATGGTCTAAGAGGACATTCATGGATAAGTATTTGGTTCTAGATAAATATTTTTACCAAATGTGCTCTCAAAGTCCCTACTGGAGTCCCGTCAGCTTGAGTCACGTCCTTTTCGAGTCAGACGATCCGAGCAGAGTTCCAGGATTGCGGAAAATGTGCATAGATCACGAAGGAATGGCTGTTCACTCCCACAGGATTCCTGTTCAGTCCAATCACTTGATCTCCATCGAGGGGCTACTCTGTAGACTCTGCTGTGCAGGACAGGCCACCAAGGAGTCTGGTCTGGTCAGCTTTAGCCTTCGGCCAGTTTTACCGCAAAATACACTCTCAAATTCCTAAAGTTAAGAAGTGATGGTTAATGTACTGAATTAATAGACATGAAAACTGCTGTCTTCCAAAGTGCAAAAGGTTGAAATTAAAAGCTATGTAAATGACTTTAAAATACGCTGTTTTAAGGTGTCATTCACGAACTTGGGTCATACCTCACAATGGGGTTTATGTAATAAACAGATTTGAGCATTTTTTTTCAAATAGCAGTTATACTGTACATATACTTCTATTTAGTTTTTCCAATACTCAGAATGTCTGGCCACATTGTATTATTGTGGTAAAATATACATGACATGAATGTTCCAACCATTAACAGGCCCTAGCTATAAATCTGTAAACCCAGCATTTGAGAGAAGGTACAGTGTATATATTAAATGTTTCAGGCTGGGTGCGGTGGCTCATGCCTGTAATTCCAGCACTTTGGGAGGCTGAAGTGGGTGGATCACCTGAGGTCAGGAGTTCAAGACCAGACTGACCAACATGGTGAAACCCTGTCTCTACTAAAAATATAAAAATTAGCTGGGCGTGGTGGCAAGCACCTGTCATCCCAGCTACTTGGGAGGTGGAGGTAGGAGAATCTCTTGAGCCTGGGAGTTGGAGGTTGCAGTGAGCCGAGATCATGCCATTACACTCCAGCCTGGGCAACAAGAGTGAAACTCTGTCTCAAAAAAATAAATTTTTAAAAAGTTTCAACCATTAGGCCGGACGCGGTGGCTCATGCCTGTAATCCCAGCACTTTGGGAGGCTGAGGCAGGC